GGAATGGAAAATGGTGCAGCCACTATGGAAAATAGTATGAAGTTCCTCAAAAAATTAAAAATAGAGCCAGCAATCTCATTGCTGGGTACTTATTCAAAAGAACAGAAGTCAGGATCTGGAAGACATATCTGCACTCTTGTGTTCACTGCAGCATTTATCATAATAGATTAACCCAAATGTCCAGCAACAGGTTAATGGGTAAAGAAAACGTTATATACACTCAATGGAATGTTTTTCCACCATAAAAAGGAAGGATTTCTGTTATATGCTAAGTGAAATTAGGCAGTCATTGAATGATCAATACTGCATGATTCCCCTTCAGTGAGGTAGCTAAAGTCATCAAATGTATGGAAACAGAAAGAAGAATTGTGGGGGCCAGGGGCTGGGGAGAGAGGAACATGGGAGTTGCTGTGCAATGGGTGTAAAGTCTCCGTCATGCCAGATGGAAAGGTCCTAGAGAGCTGCTGTACGGCACTGCCTGTGCTGAAGTTAACAGCACTGTACCACACACTTGGAAATGTGTTAAGAGGATTGATCTCGTGTTACCTGTGTTTTACCACACGAACAAATTCAACATATTTAAATACAGCCGAGAGTTAGCTAACTGAACATATTACATACAGTAACTATACTGTGGGTTTTACTATAGATTGTAATAAAGACAGAGTAACATAGGGGAAGAAGTGAATGAGAGTTAAAATACATATAGGCTCCCTGGCCAGTTTTCTCAGTGGTTAGATCATTAGCCCCAGGACTGAAGGGTTAGGGGCACGTACCTGGGTTGCAGGTTTGATGCCTGGTCGGGGACCTGCAGCAGGCAACCAATCAACATGACTCTCTCACATCAATGTTTCTCTCTCTCTCTCTCTCTCTCTCTCTCTCTCTCTCTCTCTCCCTCCCTCCCTCCCTCCCTCCCTCCCTCCCTCCCTCCCTCCCTCCCTCTCTCTTCTCTCTTCTCTCCTCTTTCTCTTTCTGACACCAGAAATGCTAGACAGAATAGAGGGGTAAGGCAATATTCAAAGAGATAATGGTTGCCACATTTCCAAAATTAATGAAAGATATAAATCCACAGAGTTTGGATCTAAACAAATCGTACAGATTGCTGTGCGGGAAGGCAAGGAACTCACGGGAAAAATGAATGAGAAGTTAAGGCACATGGAGGAGTTAAGGTCTAACATAATCTAATCCCCAAAGCCAGGAACTGATAAATTTTGATGACAAATGAAAAGAAGGAACATTATGGCACTGATCTTCTGTGTGGTACTCCTGGTCACTGTGCTGGGCACTGGCAAATACAGAATTAAGGTGACAAAGTAAATCCACAGTTAGGCTGCAGCGTGATAGGTACTGTGACACGTGAGGGTACTGAGCAAACCCAAGGGAAGTGAGTGGTAACAGTGATTCCCAGGGACAAAGTACTGATGGCCACCTTAGTTCAGCCAATACTTGTTACGGTCAGTGAATTTCAGATCTATAAACAGAATCACCATCCAGAGTTGTGTTATTCAAAGTTTCCAAGTCCATTTTAAAATTACCAAAGTCCATTTTAAAACATTCGCAAAAGGAGTCAAATCCGTTTTCTTCATACTGTTCGAACTTCCCCATAGAAAGCTAGTCTGGACATTTGGGATCCATAAAAATTAGCATAAGAAGAATTTTTCCAAAAACACACACAAAATTTTTCTTGCTTAATTTAAAAGTAATAGCATAAAAGTAATGGCAATATATTATCTATAGCCATGCTGGAATTATCCAAGTCATCCAACAGAAGAAAAGAAATATTTCATATACCTGTTCTTTTTCTGGACTTACTCTTTACAACCTAAAATCAAACCCATTTTGCATAAATTAATGATATTATCTGCAACATGATATTATCTATGCCACTATAAAGTGCTTATTCCACTCAAGTGAATCATTGGTGTGCTGTTGGATTTAGCCACGTAAGGCCTGTGACCGCACATACGAATCCTTCACCTAACAAAATACCTCTGAAAAAGTACCCATAGATTGTTCCCAAAGAAAACCAATTCTTTCTCACTCTACTCTAAACAGCAGTAGTATATAGAAGCTCAATGCTATACTATTTCTCTTTCGAATTTAAAAACTTATCCTCAATATATATTAGTGACATGGGTAGATATTACATACACCCAAGGACACAACATCCAAATACATTTATATATGGATAAATAAATTTTTATATAAACTGCAAATGATTTCAATAAAATACCAAGATGGTTCTCTAAATGACCATATTTGCTTCTTTTACTTTCCAGCAGTAATGAAATGTTTTTAGCTATGCCCTTAATATTCCACAAGACTGAGAAGCCTTTTGTTGTCATAGGAATGTAAATTTTTGCAGCCAGTTTTTAAAATAGGTCACTTTAACTGGAAACACCACAAATGTGTATTGTGACTGCCACACTGGCATTAATCTATTACTGATCAAACAGGTTCGTTAGTTCATTGATGAGAGGGAAGTTAAGAATGGATAATGACATTTATTACCAACCAGAGAATAATGAGGGACACCAATTGGTGATTTAAAATAATTTTTTATTGATTTTAGAGAGGAAGAGAGAGGGACAGAGAGATAGAAACATCAATGATGAGAGAGAATCATTGATCGGCTGCCTCCTGCACACCCGCTACTGGGGATCGAGCCCACAACCAAGGCATGTGCCCTAACCAGGGAATCTAATTGTGACCTCCTGGCTCATAGGTTGATGCTCAACCATTGAACCACACTGGCCAGGCCCAACTGGTGACTTAAATAACCTTCACTGGTGGTCTCTTTGATAGACACCTATAGCACTTAAAAACCAATTTAGTCCTACTTACACAGTGGTTTCCATTGTACAGTTTGGGATATTTGCCTTTTCTGTAAGTTTCTTGAGGGGAGAGGCCTTGTCTTAAATACTACTACTGTATCTCTTCTCGCTCAGAACCAAAGCTGAGTGTATACTTATTGATAAATTGGCTGCAGTAGAATAAAACATATTTTCCATGGCAATTAGGAGGCAATTGAGATGTGATTGTAAAGTAAGCTAATTGTAGGTACAGTTAGTGCAACACAATGACAGCAAGGGACAAGACCATAACAGTGACTTTGAAATAACATGTTCAGAAACAGAGCAAATGAGTTTATGCAGCATAACCATTTTCTGAAGGTACCACATAATTTATCGCAGGATTATTGCTTAGCTTTAAAATGTTCTTTTGGGGGTCTTACACGTGATGATGCATTCATATTTCTATAACGCTATCTCATGTCTGTATAAACTACCTTATTCATACAAGTATGGAAAGAGCTGTATATACTATTCAAAATCAAAAAGAAAATAAAACCAATGTATTATTCCACCCTTCTAAGGTTAATGAACACACACAGTGTTTTGCTAATTAAAACAAAGGTCTTACTTTTCATGCACATCGAAATGACACACAGAATAACAGCAACCTTTTTAGTTAGAAAAATTCAGCACCAACGTGGCTTTAAAATCAACTTCTATCAAAATGTTCATCTTTTCCCCTGACCTTCTTCAATCTCTCAACCAAAATTACACATCAATGATGTTTTTATAGCAACAATTACGATGCAAATTATGTGATCCTTTATGATAACAGCAGACTTACACTACCTTTACCATTGTAGAGGCACCACACCAGAGGACAAAAGCACACTGCAACATCCTCCTAGCTCTTCCAACAAGACTCTGCTCCTAGAATTTCTTCTCCCTTCTCACAAGCACATTAAGTCTCTGTGGCCCCCTACTCTCCAAAATCAAACAATCTGTCCACACCTCCCTCCAACACTTCAGAGGTGAGTCTGTATCTCTCTGTCTCCTTTTGTCTAAGAACGTGCAGGCACTTAGTTTATTTGACCCACCCTTTAAAGGCATGGGCATACCCAGAGCTGGAGAGGCCCTGAGTTAACTGGACAACTAGAGATCTGGTCGGCCCCCCAAAACTTGCCACCCCTTCAGCTCTTTTTAAAAAGTCAGAAAATCAGCATAGGCCCTGTTCACAGGCCAGGAGAGTTGTTTCGTTGTTGCTGAGGCTGCTGCTGCTGTTTTAAATCTTTCCCACAAAAGAACTCGCGTACACTCACAAAACAACTGTACTTTTCAGAAGGTGCAAATACAAACTGATCTTGTTTGTCCTTTTGGTTTTCAAGAGTTGAAACACGAAAGACATCTGCATCTAGAAAAAACTCCTGAGGGCAAGTTCATCAAAGACGCAGAAAATCCTTCCTTCAAAGAAATGCACCTTGTGACGCTCCACGAAGGAGGAGAAATATTTAAAGTAAAACCTTCCCTGGTTTATCACCGCAGGCTTGAGGGAGAGAAGAATAGGCGCTTGGTTTCCTGTGGCTTTTCAACACTGTGCGGTGACCCCAGGGCCACAGAAGCCGTGGGTGCGATTCTTCCACTCATCACTGCCCAGGAGCAGCATAAGCTCTGTAAACTCCGTGCACAAACGCACACCCCTCTCCACTATCATCCTCGCCCTCCACCTCGACCCCAGCGTGACCACGATGCTACAAAAAGCAAAGTCATGGGGCAATGCAGGGGGTGGGGGGGAAGGGAAGGGGGGATGTGTGCAAAGGACCGAAAGACCCAGAAAAGCGAGGGTGGGGGAAATAGTCCGCGGGCTGGTCTGTGACCCAGAGCCAGCCCTGGGGTGGGGATGAAGACGCCCCAGGCGCGGAAAAACCACCGGGATGCCCACTCTGCCTTGCCCTGCCTCTGCCCTCCATCACCCCCTCGCTCTCCGGCAGGGCCACCTCCGGGCAGGGAGCGCCTCTCACAGTCCCCCAGTCTCACGCCGGAGGGTCGGGGTGCAGCCTGGGGCTGAGCGGGGGGCGAGGTCTGGGGGCGCCAAGCGCAGACCCTGCGGCTCGGGGGCCACTGGGGACTCGGCGGCCCAGGTGGAGGGCGAGCGCGGGTCGCAGGGGGGTCTGGCCGCGCGGCTGCGGGGCGGCTTGGGCTACTCACGTTCTCCGTGTCCCGCTCGTTCACCGTGGGCAATGGCGTCCGGGCCGACATTTTGTGCGGGCGGCGGGATCGGGCCGGGGTCCCTCGGGCCGGGCTGAGTGCGGGCTCCGGGGGCGCAGGAAGCGGGCGCAGGCGCGGGCCGAGGCCGGGCGCAGCGCTCCCGCAGGCCGCGGGCGGTGCAACCAGCGGCCCGGAGCGGAGCGGGGAAGAGGCCGCGCGGGGCGGGGAGGGGAGGGGGCGCTGCCCGCGGCGGCGCCGGGGACGCGGGCGCCGGGGAGGGAGGGCTCCGGGAGGGCGGGTGCGGCGCTGCGGGCAGAGGCGCCGGGGGCGGCGTCCGGGCCCCGCTAGGCTCCCGGGGCCATGGCCGAAGGTGAACTCGCGCCTCCGATCGCGGCCCGGCAAGCGCGGCCCCGACAGCGCCCCGCGCCCCGCCCGGGAGAGCGGCGCCCGCGGGCCGTGCCGCAGCCACGCGCGGGGCCGTCCCGGCTGGGTCCGCGCTCAGAGCCGCTGCCGAGCCGGGAGGAGGCGGGCGCGGCACGCAGCGCCCAGGCCACTTGGCGGCGGCCGGCGGGTGGGCGGGCGCCCGCCGGGGGCCTCTCCATTCATTCCCTCATTAGGGATGCGGGGCCGCCTCCTCCCTCCCGCGCTCGCTCTAGCGCCGTCCCCGTTTATTTTGGTCCCGCGCACCACCCGCCGAGTACGGTTGTCTCAGAGCCTCGGGTGCCTTTTCTCTTTCTCTGCGTTTGGGTTTTGCGGGGGGGGGGGACGCTGGTCCCGTTTTTGTCCGTTTCGCTGGGGAAAAATTAGATGCATCTGACCCGGGCCCTGCACCCCGACCTGCTACCTCGGACGCCTCCCATTCTCAAATCCTCCTTTTCCTCCGATGTCAAGAGTCCCCAGTCCTTGCCCAACCCGAGCCTTCTCTCAGGCCCCCTTCTGCAGGAAGCCGGTGGGGTCAGGGTCACCCTAATAGTTGGGCCCAGGGCACAAAAGCCCTTAGAGGCGCCAGCAGGGGCTGTGGCCAGGCAGCTCGCCCAGGTGACCCCACAGTGCGGCCTCCATGGGAATGGGGACAGTGGTAGAGGTCACCCAGTGGCCATCGCAGCACCCCCAGAGTGGGTGCCCCCAGGAGTCACCACGTTTACAGGGGCTGATCATCACTTCCTGGGACACAAGGAAGTGTCACTGGGGCCAGAGGAGAGCCGTCTCTGATCTGGGCCCTGTCCTACCTTCCCCAGGTGGCTTCCTCTCCCTTTCCGCCCACTTCTCACATTCCTATATGAGAGGCCCAGTAGCCCTCTAGAAAGCAATGCTGCTGCTTTCTGTCTTACTTGAGAGCTTACATTTTGCACACGGCCACAACCTTCCAATATTTCTTTTTCACTTCCTTTCCTGGGTGGGCGGGTAGATAAAAGGAGCAATAGAAGGGGATAGATCCCATTTTTAAGCCACTTCCATAAGTTTCCAATGAGACTCTCAAGATGGGCAATTCCACCTCTCCCCTGAAGTCCACCCATTTGGGAAAAAAAAGGAAAAAAAAAAAGAACCCTGCACCAGATGGTTTTTATCCCGACTTATTAAAGGTAGCTTCTGAAAAGTTAACACTTGACCCTTACAACATGTTCCAAAAGACCTAAAAATAGCAAATACAGAGACCCAGCATACAGTCCCTTCTGGAACACCATCCTATGTATGTATTTCTCCAGCACTGTATCTTGTAAACACTTCCCAGTTTCACAAAGCAAATAAAAATCACAGGATCCCTTTGATGTTGATGGCTACTCCTCAAATCCAGTTCAGGCTGTGGAACTGCAAGGCTGCAAACTGGATTATGGCGAGCACCCGGGCACGCCACGCTTTCACAGTTCCTCTGCGGACATCCTGAATCACCCAGATGCCCTGAGGTTGCCAGGGCAGAGCTTGTACTCTTCTGATTAACTGGAGTCGCGGCTGCCTATAGGGGCTGCTCACAGTGTCAGCAGCACAGCGACCTCAGCAGCCACCACAGAGCACCTTGTTACAACAACACCCGTGGTAACCGGGGAATCAACAAGGATCCGCGAAAGGGTGTTCAACCCCTTGGGAATGTGATCATTCCCTCCACTGATAGCTTGGGCTTTGCTTTTCAATGCCCACTAACATATTATCCTGTGTCGTTACCCTTGTATTGACCCAGGCAAGCATATTTCTTTTTACCAAAGTCCATTCAGTTGACTTAGTCAAGATCACAGACGCGGCTCGTAGTATACAAAAGATAACCGTGATGTGTGGTGTTGTTCGCCCTGTAAGGTTCATTATACCTGTAATGCGTAAAGGCTAATTAGAGACAGAGCTTCACGGAGAGGGTTCCCGTACAGTGGCTCCCAAGACTTTAAAGTGTGCTTTAAAAGTCATGGGCAGCCCGGCCGGTATGGCTCAGTGGTTGAGCATCAACCTATGAACCAGGTGCAATTTCTGGTCAAGGGCACATGTCCAGGTTGCGGGCTTGATAACCAGTGTGGGGTGTGCAGGAGGCAGCCGATCAATGATTTTCTCTCATCACTGATGTTTCTCTCTCTCTTTCTCTCTCCCTTCCTCTCTGAAATCAATAAAAATATTATTTTTAAAAGTCATGGGCAAACCCCTTAGCTTTATGTGCTACACTGTGTTCACATATATTGAACCTGAACTGAAAATCACATTAACAATAGTCAGGGATACTTATTTTTTAAATCAACCTATTTAAAAAAAAGGTTTTATAACAGCAGAGCTATATTCAAAGGGAGTCTTCATTGGATGGGTAACTCAACTCCATAATTCTGGTTAACAAAATAGACTAGAAACAGCTTTATTAAAAAATGGACTTCAAATAATTCATGCCTGCCATTGTGGGCTTGTTGCATAATGAACATTCACTCTGCACAGGTTAGAAAGGTCACTGTGTTCTTGAAAGGAGTGTGTGCCCCTACGTGAGCTCTCCACCCCTTGAGATGGCAGGTGGCAGCATTGTGACTGAGTCAGAGCTGTGTGGCCATCGCCCTTACTTAACAATGAGCACGCTCAGAAGCAAAATTCTCTTGTGTCACTATACACAGCTTCTTGTGCCTGTGACTAGGAAGAAATGACAACAGGAATATTTTAAGGGTTGAGTCATTTTCTTCAGGAGTATTAGCCAAATGTGGCATGTTGCATTTGGAGGTTTCTAACCTAAGGTGTTGGGGTAATAAAGGTTTCGGGGAAGGAGAGGGAATTGAAATACTGAGAAAACAAAAGAAAAACAAGATCTGTGGGTGCTAAACCCACACGGAACGGAAATATGCTGAATGAGCATTGCTTCCCAGCAGCTTTATGAAGCAGAATCCTCTGGCGCTACTGTCCTTACAGGACTACCTGTGGCTACTGAGCACTTGACATGTCACCGAGGAACTGAATTTTTAACGTGGTTTCATTCTAAACAATTTACAAGCTGACCTTTTATTCAGTTATTGGAAAATTTTAAAATATGTTAGAAAACCTTGGATCCACGCATCTAACTTCTTAACTATAAATATTCTGAAATCTCAATGCAGATCAAGTATTCTGATGAAAATGATTCATCTGAATTGAGATACGTTTGCCAAAATAAAATGCATACCAGAATTTTAATGACTGGATAGCAAAAGAGTGCAAGATATCTCTTTAATATCATATTAATTATATACTGAAAGGCTAATATTTTGATATGTTGGGTTACATGAAATATACTATTAACTTCAAGTGTTTTACTTTTTCAAATGTGGATACTGACAGATATGAAATTACATATGTGACTTAAAATTCTGTCTCTATTGGACAGTACAGTGGGGCCTTGACTTATGAGTGTCCCGATTAACGAGTTTTTTGAGATACCAGCTAGTTAATAGCTCCTTAACGAGCTCGGTCTCGGAATGAATTAAACTCGTAAGTCAAGGCCCCACTGTACTTCTCTATAAGGTAAAAACTGAGAAGAAAGAGGTGCTAAAAAAATCAAAGGCCTTGATTAGAAGCTATTAATAAATCGTTCTTTGACTCAACAAACACCACTCGGACACATGCCCCGCACTGTACTGTTCAAAGGGAATGTTCTTCACCTAACGGTTCCAGCAGTTAGCATTATAATATTCTTTTTACAGCGCTAAGTGGGAAACATGGCTGATTCATACAAATGAGTGTCTACAGATGGCACTCATTTGTAAACAAAAACTTTCTCAAACGTGACAGATTCAGCAGGGTTCATACTCAACTCGTGTTTTAAATGTATCCAGTGCGTGATAGTCGTGGCCAGTCAGTCACTATTTTTTGAGGGCATACTTTGTAGGATACAAGACTATCTGCAATCGTCCATTTAACCCACTGCAGAAAGCCACAAGCTGGGCAATTCTGTACCGTAACAAAGAGCTGTCCCAGCTAAAGAGAAACATGGTGAATGTCCTTCAGGGAAAGAACAATCAGTTCTTTTCATAAAATAAACTGGGTCCCCTTTGCTCTCCTGTCCTTCACAAGGTCAAGTTTTTGCATGTCAACAGTCGCCACTGAAAATGTGGAACCACTGAAATGGAAAGGATGTGTTTTAGGTTGAAAACTGTGTCAGGCTGCTGCCTTGTGCCTGGTGCATGTGGCCGTGGAAGGAGGCCTGAGAAGTCCTTGCAATCATGCCCTACACGAGTCTTCATAGCTGTCAGTGTCAGCCCAAGAGTCGGCTCACTGGCTTGTCCAGGGTGGGCCCCCCACCTCACAGCACAATCTATGTCCAGGTAATTCTTAATCTCCTTCCACTCCCCACAAGTTCCCTAGACTCCGCAATGCCGCGCTGTTGGAATTCCCCAAACACACTGTTCTGCTGACTCCTCTGCACCTTTGAGTCACCTCTTCTCTCTTCCTGGAATGTCCCCCCTCCTTTCTGTCTGATGGACTCCGAGCTGGTCTTTAAAAACCTTTTCTTGGAAGGCTTCCCTGACACCCCTGCTCCTCCCGACACCCACAGAGTTCATCAATCACTGTCCCTCACCACCTCCGTACCCTGGACACACTTGGGCTGCTGCTCTCCTTGCACTGTGTGCCTGGCTGGTCGCCCACCCAACTGGGACTGCAACCTGGGTCAAGGAAGGGAATGTCTTCTTTAACTCTTTTTGCCCAGGACCAAGCTCAGTGCCTAGCAATTGGTAGCTACCCAGTTTCTTAAATGA